TGCTAAGAATTTGCCATATATAAAGTTGATGTCAATCCAATAACCTTAAGACATGCTTCTAACAATTTCAAGATCCAATTTGACACAGTGATTTCAGTACAAGAAAAAGAAAAACTAGAAAGAATAAATTTAAAAACAAAGAATTTCACATCCTGTCAACTTGCTTTTGCGGCAACCGCTAAAGGAATATAGGTTGGCAAAAAAGCATGAAGGAGAATCCATCAAATTAAGGATGCAGCACAAAACCACTTACCAATAAACATCACAACTGAAAAGGTAATCTGTACTTTCAGGCATAAATAATAATATTTGCCAACCATAACCCACCTGATCATGACTACCCTTTTATAAATTTAAAAAAATAAAAAAATAGCCGATGAAAATCTACTGTATTCCATCCTCCACCATTATCAAAAACAGTATGGGAATTGTAACTGATCTTCTGGCGTAGAAAATATTCAGTAACCAAAATAAAATTCACAAATGATAAAGTTGAAACCCCAAAACATACATATGCACTGATTCAGGATAAATTATGCGTATGCGCAACAAAGGGTGGAATATTATACTGAGAAACATAATCAGTGATCATGGATTGAACAGACAATGAGAGAACAAGATCCCAAAGAAATGAAAGGGCATCATAAAAGACCAATTTATAATCAGCCGAGTCTTCTAGATTAAGACCTTACCAGTAAACTCCTAAATTTAATTTTCTGGAATGAAAGCACACACGAGGATAATCTAACTTCATTAATGCTGAGCTCATTCCTCTTTCTAATTTTACTAACAACAGGATAACCCAAAGCAACTTAACTCCATTTATTTAGAAAAATCAGAGAGCACTTTAGCTCCAGACAGACTATCAGCCCCGTAGACAATTCCCAATGAGCATTTTTTTATCTCCCAACAACATGCATTACCTGTGCTCTATTGGAACTTGATACATAAATTAGTAAAGTATGAAAGCAGAATCATTGCATGCCATTACTGTCAGATCATGTCCATCTAATCCAAAATGGGTACTACTGCATTACTAATAGAAGGTATAATATTTAAATAACGTTATTCTCATAATAAGTCTTCAACATGTAAGCTTCATGTGTGCTGGAACAAAGAAGGTAGTTCATCACAACTAATGAAGCTTACAAGTATTAAGTTATTACTAGTATATGGGAAACGCGTTGTTCAGATTGATCAATGACACGTTAGATAAATAAACATTTTCTACCGTCCACTGCCATAAATTTTAGACAGCACTTCTCCTACAACCTTCCATAGCGATAAAATAATTTAAACATACATGAATCACACGCTATATACTATAATCTTCTAGTTTATACTACTACAAATCTTAAATACCATTTCAGCTACATTCTTCCAGAGACATAACCCCTAATTTAAGTCACAAGTTAGACACATTATAATTAGATAAAAATTTGAATATGATATATTACAAAAAAAAATAGAAATAAAATTTAGGAGGAAAAGCAAGTAAACCTACGGCTTCAAAATTCTCGCTGCCTGCATTTGTTTTTTGACTGAATTAAGTAAAAGAAAACAAACCTATTATTACAGAAGAATCGTTCTCTAACAATTAGCTAACCAATACATAAGTCGGGCGTTGATAATCGACTGCGGGCTATCAGTCACAGTTCATAACGCGTTTAGCATCCACAAGCAGGCATAGCCTTACTGGAATGAATTTTGCGCTAAAGTTTTTCAACACAACTAGTTCAAAGTAGGCATGCGCTAATAAACCAATACAAATGGGTGAGCTGGAAGGTGTAGTACGAAAAACAACTTCTGGGTGTTTGAAAAGCATTATCTATGGTTTGCTCAGTGTCTTAAATCGAGGCCACTATTTAAGATGTCATTGAGAACATCTTCAATGTCAAAATTGGAGAGCCAAAGGCAGAAGACTGTTGTCAAACTTGACATTCAAGAGGAGGAAAAGCATAAAAAAAATAGAATTTAAAAATTAGAAGGAAAAAAAAGCGTGCGGGGAGAACAACTCCAAGGCCAAACAAAACAAACCACACAAGTCCATAGGAGCTAGCAATTAATTCGAAGACCCGTATAAAGAAGAAACTGAAAAGGTGAAAGGTTCAAACAGCATTACTATCCCGGAATGACCAAACAACCAAACTTTTTTTTTTCCTCATATGACGAAAGAAGCATGGATCACAGTCTAACAGTGAAAGCACACAAAGAAAGTCACATACATTAACAGCGAGCAGCGAGATTCAGCACAGTCATGCATAAACACCAATCCAGAGAAAGAGAGAGAAGTGTTAGGGTTTCCCTTTCCTTTTTCTCGTGCTCCTTCGAAAAAAAGCTGTGCGTCATGTCCCAATCTCATTCTTGCAAACACATATTTGCTGCTAACTTATAAAGACTATTCTGCGAGGGGTATTCATGTTTTCAACCAATGGTTAAACAGCCAAGGGGATAAGGATCTGGTAGATCAAACAAAGCAACAAAACATAAACAACGACTGTTGCTCCATATGGCTTCTACAAGCCAACTAAGGACACTTATTCCACTAGGAAATCTCGAACCCAGCGTTCAAAATTAACACCATGAGTTAAACTGAAGCAACCTCTTATCGGTTGATACATGTGTCATCCGCCATCAATGTGCCAGCTAAGGGTACTGTTACTGCTTAAGACCCATAACTCGAGAAGCGTATACCTAAACTCATTTAAGATCACTGTTAGACAGAAATAATTTCTTCTCAGTTGATCCTGCGCTATAGATGTGCCAGCTAAGGGTCCTGTGACTACAAAAGCCCCACAACGTTTATTGAAACTAGTTCTTCGCTTTGTTCTCCATAAAAAAAAAAAAAAAAGCAGCGCAGATATCAAAAACGAACATCGAGTTCAGAAATTATAATAGCACTAGCAGTGAGCGAGAGCTACAGCTAGTAAGATACTGAAGCGAGAGAGAGAGAGAAAGAGTGAGAGAGAGAGAGAGGGAAGAAAAACAAACCAGAAACGGTGGAAACAGAAGCGCCAGTGCAGAGATGGCTTAGCTGCATTTCGATCTTGTTGAGGAAAGTGGTTGCTTCGTCAAAGGGGCGAGCCAAGTCGGATTTATACTTCACGAGCATGTCGCAGTAGGTTTCCTGAAAACGAAAAACGCATAATCGGAGACACAATCACAATCTGCGACAAAAGTTGTAATAAATAATTATATGTGTGCGTGCGTGCGTGTGCAGAGAGAAAGAAGGGGGGGACCATGAACTCGTCGAGCTCGGGATCGGCTCCAAAGCACGTGGAAACAACGTCGCTCTTGCACAGGTCGTTTTCTCGCCGGATTTCCTCCAACAGACGCGCGATTTCTGGAGGCGCCCCAACCTGCAGCAGCAGCAGCAGAAGTATCAGCCGTCAGCGGAAAGTAGTTGCGTAGTTTGTTATAACCGTTATCCCTTCCTCCAAGAAACGGTTACGATCGTAGCGATACGGTTTTCTTTACTCACCTTCTGGCAATCGATGTAAGCTTGGAGGAGGCGAGGGTAGTGAGGGTGGGAGGCGATTTTTGCCTTCATGACAGTGGTTGCGACGTCATCGTCCTGGTGGCGCGGAATTCCAGCAGGAGAGGCGGAAGCGGCGGAAGGCTCGCCGGAGAAGAGGTCGTCGGATCCGAAGATAGGAATCCGGGCCGCTGTGAGGAAGGCGGGGTAGTCCGGAGGGAAAATCAGATTCTCCGGAGTCATGAGTGGCTTGTCGGCGTAGTCCGGCACTCCGTACATTTCATCCATGATGGCGACACGAAAGGAAACGCTGCGTTCCTTTGCCTCGTTCCTTACCAGAATTTCTGGAACTTTTCTGCTTCTGCTGCCAGTGCCAGAGACAGCTAGTCTTCAAGGAGAAGGAAATAAGGAACACAGAAATAATACATTTAACATTTTTCTTTTTTTATTACTATTAATTAATTATTATTATTATTATTATTATATCTCTCAAAAATAAACCTCTCGCCGCACTCACTCAGTCACTCACATCATCCTATCAAAGATCACGAACTACCACATTGCAAAATATCCAATTATTATTTACTATTACTTAGAATAATCATAGAAAATGAGATTTGCAGTAGACTTTGGAGTCTTGAAATCAATGGTCAAGAGTATTATTATTTTCATTTAAAATGGAGAGTGTAGGTTGGTTTTTGAATATTTTAGGATAATGCTAATAAATTTAAAATGATGAGGTGCGTGGGGGTTTAGGAGACTTCCGAAATGATAGAAACATGGTTTGGGTTGGGTTGGTTTGTCTAGGCCAACCAATATTACATACTAGTCTCTAGACCTCACCCCCTCCCTTCTTTTCTCTATGAATGGTCACTTTTCATCACCTGTCCCATGCTTTCAAAATTAAATCTCCAAATGCATATTTACATATACTAACAACTGCACACTTTCAAACCTCAAAATGCTATATATTCCCTCCCTTTCAAATCTCCTTCAAAAGTAAATACTTATTACATTTTTTTTTCTTACCCTTTTATCATGGCTAAAGGATAACTACAAATAATAGAGATTATGTTAAAAGTTAAATAATGACTAACTAACACTGTTGGTCAACTTTAACTAATAATTGCTCCAGCCTAGTGTGCAAGTGGCCAAAAGTAAACTTATGTTCTTAGATCAAGAATTTCAACATTTTTAGTTACAGTCACCCTGCTTCTATGTAAGACCTTTGTGAAAGTAGAAATACGTGGCCAATCATTTTATTTCCCTAACTCAACATCGTACGTCGATGCATCTATAAAATATTAAATATGTTGTGTGACCATGTTTATTCAAATATATTTCCACCGTTGAAAAAGCTTCACAAATCTTTATGCCTAAAGAAATGTGTGGCCAGATTGATTTTACCCATTCAGCGGGGCACACCACTTACCTCTCTTCATAGTCAAAATAACTGAAACTTGGGCTCTATAAATGTTATCAAGTAATCGAGTTTAATTATGATGCTAATCGTTAAATTTGGATTAATCATGATATTAGTCTTAGATTTTTTTTTTATTCAATTAACTTTTCGGTCAGTTTGTTTATTTTCTACTAATAGTTCTCTTTATTAATATAAGTTCGATTGAACTTTTTTATTAACAAAGACAAAATTGCATAAAATAAATAACATAACTAAAAAAAATTTAATATTATTTTGGGTACGGGATTGAGGTCAATAGTCAAGTGTGATGCCTAATTTAAAATCCTCAAATCACTGTTTGGTAAAATCGTCTGCATGTTTGTTTGTTCGTCGAATAAAATAAATAACATAACTAAAATTATTTTAATATTATTTTTGGTATGGGATTGAGATCAATCGTCCAAGTATGATGTCTAATTTCAAACTCTCAAGTTAATGTTTGGTAAAATCGTCCATGTGTTCATCCTGTTTGTTTGAGGAGTTATAAAGATACAAATAAAAGATATTTTGATATCAGTAAACATTTAGTTATTCGAGTATGAACGATGTATTAAATACAATCACATACATTTTTATTTCCTATCTATGTTTATAGATTTTAAAATATATTTTTAATTAATAATGGTTTAATTATGACACAATATGTACAATTTAATCCAAATTACTCATAATTAGTGTTAATTTTTTTTTGGACTAACAATTACATCATGTTTTCAATCCATACATTCACAAAGATAACTTTTTTGAGAGATGATAGTTTGATCATCATACAATACAAAGATGAAGCATTTCGCTAATAAAAAAAGCAGTATGTAAATAATATCATATTTTCTACAATATTGATTTTTTAGGGTTTAAGTTCAATTTTTAAGATCTAATATTTAAGATTTCAAATTATCTTTAACTCTGTAAACTTAGTGCTTAAATTATACCTTATTTTGAAAGTGTATGTTTTTTTTTAATTCGGAGGCTCAACCAAAATTAGCCCAAACTCTATAAACTAAAAATTATATTTAAGCATAGATATCATCACTCCTTCAAATTTTGTCATCAAAAGTCACTTCTATATCCATTTTAGCAACATATCCCGCTAAATCTTTAAAAAGAATATCACAATAATTTGATTCCAATCAAGCTAAATAAAGTCTCCTAATATATAGATATAAAGAGAGAGGGTATCTAATATTAACTTTAACCACATGACTAAGCGAGTACAAAAACACAAATCAAAATTGGCAAATTATATATTTGAATGCGATGGGCATGGATAATAATGATACAAAAAGTAGAATTCACGTGAAAAAGAAAAAAAAAATGAATGAAGTTTATGACCAATAATCCTAATAGCAAATCTAAATATATGAAAAGATATAAATATGATGAAAACACTAAAACTAAACTACCTTAAACTAACATACATAATCGAGAAATTGTTAATTAATAATATTATTAAAAACACTTTCTCTAGGTTATGTTTATTTTTGGGAAAACAAAGAAATGAGCCTTAAAATATTAAAACAAACACGTTAGCAAATTATATTTAAATATTGTAAAGGTTTAATTGCATATCCTAGATTCACCGTTAAGTCTCAACTTTGTCCTTCCTTTTAAAAAAATCTCAATTTCATCCCCACTTTCTATAATTGCACCAATAGAGTTCATTCCGTTAATTTTACATAAACATAATTAACTCTGTGGTGACGTGACAAAGAAGTTTGCATTTTTTTTCTCTCTCCTCTACGCGAGGCAGACTCGTTTATTTCTCTCTCTTTGAGTCAAAGAGAAAATAATAATGCATTAATAACATCAACAAGTACCAAAGGTCAAAGTAAATCTCCAAATCAACAACTAAGTGCATGTTTTAATTCTGAAGCGAAATTTGACTTTGATTGCGAAAGCAAATTTTGCTAGCTTCAATGCATGCACACAATCCACGTCATTCCCAAATTCAGAAGGGAAAAACCTCTACCAATTCAAAAATCATAACTTGGATAACACACTCGGTAAACAAAAATTAACCTTCAAAATTGCTCTACATGATTCACCAGTAATTCACTATATTTTTGTTAAACAAATTAGCGAGATATTTTTCTACTCTGCTTTTATTTTGCTAATACGCTTATTAAATGTGTATTAATTATAACATCAAAGATTTAGATGCTAAGGATGAAATTCTACAAGAACGTATATTCGAATCAGAGTCCAAATAAACAAATAGAATCTAGAGAATTGAAGTGAGGAGAAAAAAACCTTAATGTTGTCAGCCTCCTTAGTGGCATCGATGATCTTGACTTGATCAACACATAGCAAGTGACCCATGGTGCATATGACCACATCTACCTGCTTTATAGCTTTCAACAAGGTTTCATCATCATACAGATTCCCCTGCGATTGTCAAATCAAATAGTTTATTTTGTTTTTTAAAATAAAAATACTCTTCTATAAAAATACACATATTTTTCTTGCTCTTGATATAAAAGTCATTGTTTTCATCCTCTAGGCGACCTTTGGGTTCAAAAGGAAGCAATATAGTTGCATAGGAAAACCAATTGAGGTCAGCAAATTTGAAGTGAAAAAGAAGATTAAGGAAAAGAAAGAAAGAGGAAATTGAGAAAGGAATGAGAAAGAACAAGAAGTGAGATCGATCATGGTTATATTTTAGTTGTTGTTGGACATTGAGAAGAAGGTTGAAGACGAAAAAAGGGAAACATGAAGAGAATTAAAACCCTAGAGAGAGGGGAATGAAAAGAATCATAAGAGAGAGAAAGAGATGGGTCTATGTCGTGTAGAGGAGTAGAGAAGAGAGAAAAAAAATGCAGACTTCTTTGTCACGTCACTACAAAGTTAACTCTGTTTCTGCAAAATTAACAGAATGGACTTGATTGGTGCAATTATACAAAGTAGGGACGAAATTTAGACCTTTTTAAAAGGGGGACGAAGTTAAGACTTATAAGTGAATCTATGGACTAAATAAACAATTAAATCTATTTTAAATTGGTTAATATATCCAACTTTAAACTTATCTTTATATACCGAGTATTTAAAGGAAGTTAAAAATATATGCATTTCAGACTAAAGAAGAAAAATAAAAATTTTAAAATATTAAAATAGTTTCAAAACATTATCAAGTAGTTAACATTCTAGACGTCAAATAAAGTTTAATAAAAAATTATAAATTAAATTCAGTGATTTTTTAAAATTAAGATCAAATACTATAAAAGAGCAAGAAATTAATGTTTTTAAATGTCAGACTTATAACAGCAAAATTATTATTCAATTTTTTTTATAATGATATTAT